TTCTCTCATTGTTGGTCATGTATTCTGGGGGTTTCTATTCTTTTGTCCTTTCTTTCCTTCCATTTTTCTGAGTGTGTCTCTACTGCTGGTGGGTTTTGCCCTTGTGTTTCTGTCTCTACATCTCTTGTGTCTTTGTCTTTCCTTTCTCGTTCTGTCTGTCTCTCTCAACCTCTGTTTTTCTCTCATTTTCTCTCTGCTTCCCTCTCCTCACCTACCAACATTCAACTTCTACCTCATCTTTTTCCCAGTGCTTTATCTCATGCATATATTTTTAAATCAGTTTTCTTAAGGTATAATTCACATATACAATAAAATTCACTCATTTTAAGCTTTGACAGATGTGCCCACCACTCCAAGACAGAGCATTTCATGTTCCCTGCTGCCCTTTGCAGTCCGTCCCCTTCCCCATCTGCTGGCACCTGGCAACCACTGATTTGCTTTCTGTCACTATGATTTTGCCTCTTCTAGAACGTTACATAAATGGAGAGATATAATACGTAGTTTTTGTATTTGGCTTCTTTCACTTGGCATAATGCTTTTGACATTCATCTGTTCTTATATGCATCTATAGTTCGTTCCTTTTTGTTACTGAGTAGTATTTCATTGTATGGGTTTATCACAATTTGCAGTATTCACCACATAGATATTTATCTGTTCACCAGTTGATGGATATTAGGGTTGTTTCTAGTTTGGGTCAATAAGACTAAAGGTACATATTGATCAATGGAACAGAACAGACAGCCCAGAAATAAACCCATACACCTATAGTGAATTAATCTTTGACAAAGGAGGCAAGAATATACAATGAAGAAAAGGCTGTCTCTTCACCAAGTGATGTTGGGGAAGCCGGACAGCCATATGTAAATCAATAAAGTTAGAATACTTCCTCACACCATACACAAAAATAAACTCAGGAATGGCTTGAACTTAAATAAAAGACATGACACCATAAAACTACTAGAACAGAACATATGCAAAACATTCTTGGACATAAATCTCAGTAATATTTTCTTAGTTCAGTCTCCCAAGGCAATAGAAATAAAAGCAAAAACAAACACATGGGACCTAATCAAACGTATAAGCTCTTGCACAGCAAAGAAAAGCATGAACAAAATGAAAAGACAATCTATGTACTGGCAGAAAATATTTGCAAACAATGTGACCAACAAGGGCTTAATTTCCAAAATATACAGTAGCTTATGCAACTCAATATAAGAAAAATTTAAAAAATGGGCAGAAAATCTAAATAGACATTTCTACAAAGAAGACATACAGATGGCTAACAGGCACACGAAAAGATGCTCCACATTGCTAATTATTAGACAAATGCAAATCAAAACTATAATGAGGTATTACCTCACACCAGTCAGAATGGCCATCATCAAAAAGTCTATAAATGATAAATGCTGGAGAGGGTGTGGAGAAATGGGAATCCTTCCACACTGTTGGTGGGAACGTAAATTGGTGCAACCACTATGGAAAACAGTCTATACTCTTAAAAAACTAAAGATAGAGTTACAATATGAGCCAGCAATCCCACTCCTGGGCTTATATCCAGAAAAGACAAAACTCTAATTCATAAAGATATATGCACAACAATGTTCACAGTAGCATAATTTGTAATAGTCAAGACATGGAAGTAACCTAAGTGTCCATCAACAAATGAATGGGTAAAGAACGTGTGGTATATATATGTTTATGTGTGTGTGTGTGTGTGTGTGTGTATGATAAAAAAGAATGAAATATTGCCATTTGCAGCAACATCAATGGACCTAGAGATTATTGTACTAAGTGAAGAAGTTCAGGCAGAGAAAGGCAAAAATATCACTTGTATGTGAAATCTAATAAACTAATACAAATGAACTTATTTACAAAACAAAAAGAGACTCACAGACATACAAAACAAACTTACGGTTACCAAAGGGGGAAGGGGGCGAGGGATAAACTAGGAGTGTGGGATTAGCAGATACACACTACTATATATAAAATAGATAAACAAGGATTTATTGTGTAATACATGGAACTATATTCAATATCTTGTAATAACCTATAATGGAAAAGAATCCAAAGCTGTACACCTGAAACTAACACAATATTGTAAATGAACTATAGCTTAATAAATAGAATGAATGAACGAATAAATAAATTAATAAATAAAATAAGAACGAATAAAGCTGCCATGAACATTTGTGTAGCAGGTCTTTATGTGGACATATATTTTTATTTATCATATGTTCTCTTGAGTAAATACCTGGGGTAGAATGGCTGGGTCATACGGTATGTGTGTGTTTGTAAGAAACTGTCAAACTGATTTCCAATGTGGCTGTACTATTTTGCATTCCCACCAGCAGTGTCTGAGACATTCTGTTACTCCACATCCTCACTAACACTTAGTATAGTTAAGTCTTCTCAATTTTAACCATCCTAGTTGTTGTAAAGTGATATCTCATTGCAGTTTTTAATTTGTATTTTCCTAGTGACTAATGATGTTGAACATTTTTTCCATGTGCTTATTAGCCACTCATGTAACTTTTTTGTTGAAGTGTCCGTTCATTCTTTTGTCCATTTCTTTAATGGAGTTGTTTGTCTTCTTCCTATTATTATTAAATTATAAAAGTTCTTTATATATTTAGCATGTAAGACCTTCATTAGAAATATTTGCCAATATTTACCTCCCAGTCTGTGGCTTGACTTTCATTTTCTGAATGATGTCTTCTGAAGGGCAAATTTTAAAAATTTGATGCTAATTTCTTTCTTATGGTTCATGTTTTTTGTGTCCTAAAAAAAAATTTAATAACCCAAGTTCACAAAGATTTTGGTCTAGGTTTTCTTCCAAGAATTTGGCATAGGAATTCTTCCAGAATGTGATTTGACTAAATCCCAAGTCTCTCTAGAATGGCCGCACCAGTGCCCCCGTCTACCAGCAGTTCGGGTTTCCTGTAACCCACAGCCCCACAATACCTGGCCTTGTTCAGCTTTCTAACATCCTCCAGACTAAGTATAAAGTGATATTGCTTTGTGATTCTAATTTGCACTGCTCTGATACCTGATTTAAGTCAGTTTGCTTTTTATCTATGTGATTCCCCGTTGCTTTTTTTCTCTCGTGTCTGCTCATATCAAAGTGTTTCCCAAACCCTTTTTAGAGCTTCCCACAAGTATCATTTGGTCCTTCTGCTTTGTTTATTGTCATCACTGACAACAGTCAGATGTAATCGGAGGCAAACTAATTCTTTCCTCCAGTCTTTGGCTTATGTGATGAGTGGGAGTATGAACAGCAGGTACCTGAATTTCAAAATGAAGTTTCCATCAGCAGGACTTTTGCTACTATAATTTTTTTTAATTGCAACAAGTAATGAAATAGCAAGACTTCTTTGTCACCATATCTGGGAGCTCTGTACTCAAGAAGGGGAACCATTTCTTTCTAAAGGTATTTGCTGCTTACTAATAACATTGAAAAGTCATCATTATTCTGTCTTTCTCCTCTCTGGGAAAGACAGATATGGCTGCATGAATAATCTGTTTTAGAGTCCAAGGATGTATCTTGAATGTGTGTGCAATTCTGTGAGGAGGGTCTGGCTAAAGCCGTGGAATAAGTTGGCTCAAAAGTAGAATTTGGAAAACAAGTAATACTCTGTCCAAATACTCTCTCAGCAACAAACCAAATAAAAACATGATATAAACTTCCCCTAAGTACTTTAACATTTCCAGACAACGTTTTAGGTGTCATACTAAAACGCCAGTGCTTATACCACTGCGGGCTGGCTGCATAAGGATCAAGCTACATAAACCCTTTGGGGTGGATTCTTCTAAGGTCAAAAGTGTAGTCAAATTTCCCTTTGACAGTCCCTGGACTCCTGTCACACAGCATCTCAGAAACTGTTTTGCAAGTGTGGGTCATCAATTTCTCTAGTCATCTGTCAGCTGCATTTTTATCCTGGGTATTTTCTGAGTTCTACCTAGAGTTCCACAACAATATAGTGTCCTTCTCCTTCTTGTCTGGTCTCATCTTCTGCACAGGTGCCACATTTTGCTACTGGATGTGCTACATTTAGCAAGGACCATCTGATGCCTTAAAAGCAAAAAAAATGTGCCTCTCTATACCTCACCTCCATTGATGCACATCACCTCAGCTATGGGTGCATTCCAGAAGAAAAGGACTGTTCTAGTTTCAGAAGAACAACTCATTGGCAGCCACCCCAATGTTTAGTAGCAGAATGGATGTTTGTGTCCATGGCCAGTATACAGTTGTGCGGTTTGTGCACTGAACATAAAGGTCCAGTAGAGCTGGCGAATGCAGACTGAAATACAAGCTGTGTGTCCTGACTTAGAGATGGCTTTTCCCAGAAAGAGCAGCACAAAGATGCCCTGTAAGCTACGAGAGGCCCCGCAGGGTCAGTGTTGGATCCAAAAGGCCCGGAGCCAGGGCTTCGGGGAGGCCGAGAACAGGCCGAGGGTGCTGTTGTGTTGCACCCTGTAGAAATGGTGTTCTTCGGAGGTTGCCTGAAAGATTGCACATCAGTGCCTACAGATCCTGGGGAAAAAGGGCTGCCTCAGTGGTTCTCTATAGAGAGAGGGGTGGGAGCTTGCCCCCAGAGGACACTTGGCAATGTCTAGAGGTGTTTTTGACTGTTATGATAGGGGGCTGCTTCTGGTGGTTAGAGGCCAAGAAGCTGCTAAACATCCTACAAGACACAGGACATTCTCCTGCATTAGAATTATCTGATCCAAAAAAATCAGTAGTGCCACTGTTGAGAAACCCCGAGCAACACAAAGATAAGAGGAATGAGTCTCCTCCATCAGTGGACGTGTGGGTAATAATGTGGTTATTTTAACCTAATATTGAAGAGGAGCCAGTTGTAAGCTTCTGTTTTTTTTTTTTTTAAGGAAGTAGAGATTCCTCCTCCACCCCAATCCTACCGCGTCCCACCCTCGTTTCCTTCCCCCCATCTCCCTGTTGCTATGGGAAAACAAGAAAGGAAAAGAAAGTTCTACATCATAATTGTGCGCGTATCCATATGCACGTGTCTACATGTGAGTGAGAGAGAAATCAAGACAGAATGAGAAACAGAAAAAGACACTTGGAAAGGCAGAAAGAGATGTGCAGAGAAAGACAGATAGTGCGGGAGTCAGGCGAGAGGTCGTTGGAAAGAGAGAGAGGAAAAAAAGAGGAAAAAACCCGCAGAAGACTGACCTCCAACTAAATTTTTTTCAACAAATACCACCCATAGTATGTCAGAGCCTGGAAATTCAGTGATCATGATGATGCATTCCACGAGCCTGCAATCTCTCTGAGAGACAAAGGCTGCCAGCTGTAAACCCAGCTGTAACCGGCTGCAAAGTGGAAAGCTCACAGTTAGTCCTAAACAAAGCGGGAGGGGATGTGGAGGAGGGGCTGACTTTCTGCTGGGGGGATGGTGGCCCCAGGGGAGCTTCACGGGGTGGTGACCACTGATGTGAACTGGGAGGAGAAACGTGTGTGGGGGAGGAACAGAATGAGGAGAGAGGACTCTTGGCAGATGGGTTTAGGGAATGTCAGAGGTGAGGATGCAGGGTGGACCTGGGCAGTGGAGGGGTAGAGGTGGGAAATGAGGTTGAAAAGGGCAATTATGACCGCCATGATCCCCGGGGAGAGATTAGACCTTGAATCTGTGCTTGAACTTGTACACACAGACGATGTCTGGAGCTTCTTGCATATTTCCTCACCTCGTTCCAGTTTTTGCTCAGGATTGCCCTTTCTGTGAGTCCAACCCTGATGACCCTATAAAAATTTCAGCCCACCTCCCTGGCATTCCCAACCCCTCTGTCCTTTCTTCAGTACTCATCACCTAATAACATACTATATAAAATTCATTTCTTAACTTAATGTTTGTATTCCTTGACTCCCCTTCATGAGAACAGAAAGTTTCTTTTGTTTACTAATGTATCTAAAACAGTGCCTCGTGCATAGTAAGTGCTCAGTAAATACCTGAATAAATGAATGAATGAATGAATGGGGAGCTGGAGGCATTCCCCCATCCGTCAGCCCCTTCTGGAGGTTTACATTTCTCACCCCAGCGCCTTGGGAGGTATAATAATTTTCCAGTGTTGCATAATCAAGTGCCGCAAACTGAAGGGTTTAAAACAACAAATGTGTTTTATCTCACAGTTTCTCTGGGTCAGGAATCCCAATAAAGCTTATCTGGGGCTGCTGTGTAGAGTCTCATAAAGCTGTAATCAAGATGTCAGCTGGGGCTGGGTCTCCCCTGAGGCCCTCCTGGGGCAGGATCTACCTCCAGGCTCCTTCAGGTTGTTGGCAGAGCTCGGTATCTGCAGCTCCATGACACGGAGCTTCAGTTCCTTGCTGACTGTTGGCAAGAGGCTGTTCTCAGCTCCCAGAGCCCTCCTGCAGTTCCTTGGCGTGTGGAATTCCCCAGCGTGGCCCAGTGCTTCCTCACAGCCAACTACGGGGACAGAAAGGGAGATAGAAACTCCAACAAATGCACACTACAATTTTATGTAACATAATAATGTAACCACACAGACATAGGCAGCCACATCCTGTCACCTCTGCCACATGGTAGAACCAAGTGAGTCACAGGTTCTACCCACACTCAACAGATGGGGCTCAAACAAGGGCATGAACACCAGGTGGTGGGGTCAGAGGGACCATTTTAAAAGAAAGTCCACCTCAGGAGGTGACAGCTGGAGGCGATGCTTCTCCTCTGAAAGCAGGCAGTCCCTTGGTCTTCTGCACCTCAACCTCTGCACCATATTAGAGTTATTTACATGTGTATCTGCCTCTCCCACCAGACTAGGGGTGGGGATTGTTCTCACTCATCTTTAGAATCAGCTGCTAGCACAGAGCTTGGCACATAGTAAGTCATCAGTTTAGGATGAATGGGTAGAAGGATGGATGGATGGGTGGATGGGTGGATGGGTGGCTGGGTGGATAATGAACGGATAAATGGATGGAAGAAAGGAAGAAAAGAAGGGAAAATGTGGTAACAAAACAGATAAATATGTCAGATGAAGGCAAAGTACCTGGACAGAAGGAGTGTGGCCCTCACCTGACAGTGGGCCACACACTGTGAAGTGAGAAGGTACGAGGAGCAACAGACGGATCTGCTCACAGTCCCAGCTTCATTCCTGGAACTGCATTTGGCATCTTCCTTTCAGGGCAGCCAAGAGACCAGAGGCAGGCAGTCTCTTTCCCAGATCTTCTGTTTTCTCCTCAGGAAATAGGAGTGGAAAAAATGATGAGGGATGTCCAAATGTTCCACGTGTGAAGAGAGCAGTGAAATCCTGCAGCCCTTTGGACTTTGGCAGGGCTGGAGATAATTTCCTAAGAAATAAGCTAAAGGAAGAAGGCATTACTTTGTAATCCTCTCCAAGGCTCAAGGGAAAGGCTTTTGATAACAAAGGATTTGAAAGTGCTTCATACAATAAACCTTGAGTTTTGCAAGGAACCTCCTTGAGCTTCTGTGACAGTCGGGGTGGCGAATCCAGGCTGGCCTTGGTGTCCAAGTCCAAGATGGAAGCTAGGTCACAGGCGCTCCTGCACTCCTGGTGCTGGAGGCGGGATCTCGGGCTGCCGGTCCTCTGGTAGAACAGTGAGGTGGCCGCCCTTGAGCAGACTCTACTGACGACGCTTAATGTGTTTTCTACCCAGCAATGCATCCTGGGAGGAAAGACTGTGGCATATTTTTTGTCTGAGAGCTTTAGACTGGGTGACCTTGGGTTAAACCTTTATATATGCATACATTTCTCCCCCTTTTGCTTTCCCCTTTATGATTTCTTTTGTTCACCTGATCCATGACAGGTAATTTGCTTTATGTAAGGTAAAGGCCATTACTAGCCAGTGTGAGTGAATTGTGACAAGGTCCCATCAGAGGCTGCTAATCAGGGCCTGATTGTGAGGCTGTGGAACCCCATTGCCTTTAGAGGTGACAACTGAGCCCTTGCAAGCATCCATGTTTATAAAAACCTTTACAACAGAAACCTGGGAACAGTTTGGTGCTTAGTCTTCTGGGACAGATGAATCACAGAAACTCTGAATATTCTGACCCATGAAGAGAATGTCAGATTCCAGGACAAGGCACTAACTTTTAAAGCAACATTTTAGCCTGGATTTCTCTTCCTGTTTATAACCTATCAGCCTGCCAGAACCAGCTAACGGAGCTTAAAGCAAAACTGGAAAAGCTGATGAATGGGATTTTATTTACTAAAAACTTGCCCTGAGAGCAAAACAGTAAGGAGAACTTGAAATTTCCAAACACAGTTCATCCTTGTTTTGAAAGCAATGTCCTCGTTTGACAAGAAAGGGGCTTTAATCTATTCCTCACCACACTGGCTCATTTCCTACCTTTTTGTTTAAGTTCTTCCTCTCGTCTGTAGAATTCCAGATATGCAGAGCATTCTTCTTCTGGATCCAAAACCAGTAAGTTCACCTGGAGCCATCGTAAGTCTACTCGTTTCCTGGTGAGGGCTCTGTGTCCTGAGTCCACACTTCAGGCCCCAACCTTCAAAAGCTTTAAAACCCGACGATGCAGATGGGAAGCTTTTGGGAAGAAGGCAAGTATCGACTCTCCTGCTGGTGCTTAGCCCATTGCTTAGCACGCTGAGGGGACACAAAAGGATTAAAATCATGGCCTTTACAAGCTGGTGACAGATGTGACTTATTCCAGGGTCACCTGACCAGGAAACTGACTCTAACTGGGGAGTATTTCCAAATCAGGTAATACTTGGTGTTCACAGCCGGTCTGAGCGGATTCACCCTGGGATCCTGGGCAGCATCAAAGAAAATGCAGAGCCATCACCTCCCTCATTTCCCCAGAATGGGCTAGTCTAGCAGGTTTTCTATGTAGGAGAAAGTGCATCACACCACACACACCCCAGTCATTTGTCCGAAGCATGTCCTGCAATTCTCTCTGGGTCCACCCCGTTTCTCATCCCTCCCCTGAACGCCTATCTTAATGGAGAGGCTTTTGACAGCACAGCCTGGGCTTACTCTCAGTAAGTCATCCTTAGTAAAACCATCTCTGTTACAATGAAAGACTTGCTTTCCTTGTATTTCCCCCCTTTCAACATCAGATCAAAAGGAAAGAAAAAGATAAGGCTCACCATCCCCTGCTCTCCCAGTGAATCTCCTCTGACTGTCTCTTTCCTCCTGAACATGGGTCTCTCAGATGGCTAGCTTTCCATCTCTACTTCTTAAGAAATTTAACCTCTGTGGAGTATTTTTCAAGTGGACGAACACTTCTAACAAAAACTACTTTCTTATTGGATCCATATCCTTTCGACTTTCTAATATTTAAATATGCATTTGGATATAAAGGCCTTCCCATCCATCTTATCTACAATAGGTCCTACCCTCCTGTTCACCCTGGCCCACTTTTCTCTATTTACACGGCCCCACTCATTTTTTAAAATCTAGTTTTGTTTGTTTACTTGAACTTTTGGCATGTCCTCCCCTGTTGGACTGTAAGCTCCATGAGGGCAGAGACCATGTCTCCTCTGCCCATAGCAGACTGTCTGCCATACAGGAGACTCTCATTAAAACAATTGTTGAATGGGTAAAGAAAGCAGACTGTTCATAATGAGTGATATATCACTTAGCTAATTACATTTAAATAAATTTAACAAATCTAAATAAATTGCCTTAGCTGATTAAAAGTGAAGTGTAGGATAAAGCAGAATGGAAGGTAAGGAACACCAGATATGTGAGAACTGGGTTTTTGGAGAGTGGAGCAGAGTGCACAGGAGCTAATAGAGCAGGAGAGTCAAACAAAAGTGCTGTCATCACGGGACTAATTGCCCACAGCTGCCCCGGGGTCAGGGAAGCCCCTGGGAGGGAGGACCCAGGGAAAGGGACAGAAGGATAGATGTGGGCCTGGTCACTGCTTTGTACCAAAGAAGTGGGCCAGCATATAAACCATCATCTGTGTGAGCTACAAAATGGCTGCTGCTTCACCTCCACCCTCCAGATCTCACATGAGAATCCCTCTTGTGGCCCATCCCATCCAAAAACGCACAGGAAAGGAAAATACAATGCAGCCCAGCCAAGTTAACACATTACAAAGCCACTCTAGTAGGCACTAGTTATTGAATGAATGCTTGAATGAGCCAGCAAGCTGGCGTGGCAACCAGAAGTATCATCTGGTCCCACCAGAGCGAGCGCTCCGTGAGGGAGGGAATTTCGGCCTGTTTGAGTCACTGCTGTAACACCAACACCTAGAACGGTGCCTGGCCCATGTGAGTGCTTACGAAAATTTTGTGGAATGAATATTGAATGGTTCTGGCCCAAAGTCAAAAGGACTTGGATGGGGTCATTAGGAGACACAACTGAATGAAAATTTTTCTTTGGTTCACGGTGTGGGAAATGTATGAGGAGCCATTTAATACAGTTAGCATAAACGGGCACGAAGTGAAACAAGGGAAAAACCATACTTCCTTCTGTTACAACGTATCTCCAGAGAGCAAAATACAAAACAGCAGTAGTGACAGTGGAGCAAATACCATAAATAATAAGTCAATTATAGAGAAATGTGGCCACTGAGAACCAAGAATCCTGGTGAAGGGGAAAAGAAGGGAGAGGAAAAGAGAGTTGGAAGCATTTTATTCACAACTTCCTCAAGGTCCAGGTGGGAAACCACAAAGCAGAGTCAATCCTCGAGGGGCTTTGACCTGCTATGAAGCCTGGATACCCCCGGGCCAGAGCCGTTCAGTTGCAACCAGGCTGTAGGCGCAGGTGGTTTAGAAGGCAGCCTCCTGGAACCTGGTCCTGCGAGGGCTCAGGGACTAGCTGCTCAAACCTCCCACCTCCCGGTCAGAAGGTCTCGTGCGAACTCGTGCCACTGCAGCATCTCTTTCAGCTTTTTGTCTCCCTGCCCCCATAAGATCTGACTTTCATTTCAAAAGATGAATGTCTCTCTGTAACTCTCCTACAGCTCTACCTCTGTGTACCAGAAACACCAAACATGAACCTGGTTCTCTCCGGCTGATGGACTTACTGCTTCTGTATGCTTTTCTTTGTGCTTTCCTGTGTTTACCGCTTTCCCCCCCTTTATTTATTTATTTATTTTTTGCATTGAACATGGTAATTAACACACACAAAACAGTTACAAAAGTACTTCTAAGTACTATAAGGGTGGCTGGGGCAATGTAAAAGAGAACTATTATTTGTTTGTTTTTAAAATAAATATTGCCAGCAGCATCTTACATCTCAGCATGCGCAACTTAAACTACAGATGCTGTTTCTAAGCTACAATGTCATTAGTGAGTGAGACACCTGTGATGCATCAGCATTATGCTGCTTGTACTCGGTACTGTTTCTTCTAGATGCAGCACCCAGGGGAAGTTTATCATCAGCCAAATGTCGCTGGTTTTCAACTTTGAATTAGACTTTTTTGATCTTTATACCTGATATAAACTAAGAGACTCTACACTTTATTTGTCTACGAAAATATAATAAACAAAATAAAACAGAAGATCATTTTCTCCCCCCCCCCCCGTTTTCTACTCTTTATTGAAGGACCCCATATCCTCACGGGACCCCTGCCAAACCAGAAACCAGACGGGTCCCCCAAATATAGCAGGAGGCCTGGAAGGGGAGGGGAATGACTTATGATTCCGACACACCTCCCTGGAGACAGAAACCCACCTCAGACAGGCAGACAGACAGGGGCCAGGACTGGGGGAGACCACGCCTCCCTCTAGGTGCTGCCCCCCAGAAGGAGATAACTTTCCATTTATTACAGGTAGTATCTGCAGAATTTCATACCTAAATATTAAAGAAAAGATGTCAAGGAATGGTTATCACTGGACATGAAAAATGCAGTTACCACTGTGTTATGGATCTCATAAGCAGCATTAAGTTAAAAAAACCAAAAAATAAACAAATAAAAACGTAAATTGAATATTTGGCTTTAAATGAAAACCAGGGCATATTTGAGGACCAATCTTTATGATTCATCCCTATTTTCATAGCTGGTTAAAATGCACTGACAATAGTAAGTATCAAGTTTCTTCACCCAAATCTCCAAACAAAGCACTAGAGATGTCCTCAATAAAATGGATATGGAAGATTAAGACCATTCTAGACTTTGGAGAGCTAAATTTTATGTTTCCTTCTGCCCTAATTCTTGGTAGAGGTGAGTCAACAAGAGGCAGGCTCCCTTCTGTCCCCACGTCACAGCCCTGGTCTTCCTCTGCTTCTCCTCTTCTCTCAGGACTCTTCCTTATTTTATCTCCAAGTTCGATGGTTCAACCAAGCAAGGCCCAGGGCCGACCTGAGGAGTGAAGGCTTGAAGGGCGGCCAAGCTCACTGCCGTCTTCCATTATTTGTACCTGGGCAGGAGTGGGTGAAATGAGCATCAAGGGCAGCCTTGGGAAGGATGTGAAGGATGGAGACATAGGGATGTCAGGAGAGGGACCCTGGCTCCCTGAGAAGCATGTGGAAGGGAAAGGAGCAGCCCTCCAGGGCGGGGAGAATTATGGGAACATTGTGGACGCGTCTGTGTTCTAAGTTTGCTTTGCACTAGATGCAAGAACCTCTTTTTCCTCACAAAGAAAGCCTGTGCAAAATCAACCAGGCACTTCGTTCTTCTCTCTCCAGTTCAGTTCAGGGCTCTCTCTAACATCCCAAGGCTGGTTCTGACCTGACCACTACAGGTTTATCATAAAAAGTCTGCCTTTCTCCCGGAGTCCAGTGGCCTCAGCTCTCAGCCACACACATAACTGTGTATCTCTATAAACCCTCCCAACTCAAACCATTAGTCCTGCAATTTGGTAGAAGAACCAACCATACCATTTGTATCCTGCAAATAAACTAACCCATGAAATCCTGGAATGTTCCCATTAGCAACCAGTTATTTTTGCGCTAGAGAGACAGACCTTTATATTCACCAAGTGTCCACTGGATTGAGTGCTAAACAAGTTCATACGGGTAAGACCATGAGAACAACACACAGAGGAAATTCTTCTGGTGTTAAAACAGACTCTGTGAGGACAAAATGTACTTGGAGTTTGACTCCACCTCTTCTGTCTCGTGGTGGGTTACTACAGTTCATTGGGAAAATAGTTTGGAACTTGCAAAAGTCCTCAAATCCTGCTTTGGGGAGTCTGTGTGTCTTGGCTTTCTCACAACTCCTTTGTGACCATAAGGGAGGTTTAATAATCACACTCTGGGTTGCACAACTATTATTATCCCCATCAGAGTAACACAGTGCAGAAAAATAAAACTTGTGTTTGCATTTCCCGCTTCAGATAAACAATTGCATTGAAAGAGGATAGCAGATGTGATTTCCCCGTGACTACAGTCCTTTCCTGGTGCTGAGGCTGCAGGGCCTGCAGTAAATGGTTTCAGCTGCACTCTCCACATGCCTTCCTTCCTCACCTCATAGCCTGGCTCTCTGGCTCTCCACCCTCATGGTGAGTGCATACATGGAAAAAAAAAAAGGGGAACTCAGTGAGCCTTGGTGCTTCTGAGGAGGCCCATGGGACCTGATGAGAGCGGACAGTTTGGGAGGCAGAGTGCAGCCAGTGGACTTAAAGAAGCAAGCAGAGTTATGTAGGAATCCAAGGACCTTAATGGTGCCTAAGCTAACATGACCTTACCCTTAATTCTGTTTCTGACCCCTGGACCTACCTGGGGTCCTGTCTTCTTCCCGTAGTAGGTACCAAATCACAGTCATAGAATGTTAATTGGCCAGAAAGGATGAACTTTGATCTGGGCAGAGGAAGTGCTTTGCCAAGGTCAGCCACAAATTGATGACAAAGCTGGGCCTAGAAACCTGTCTTGATTCACATATCTGTGTTCTTTCCAGAAGCCCTAACGTGAAGAGGATTCTTTAACTGAGCTGTTACGGAGTTTCTCACACATTCTTGGCTATAAATAATAATGGCTTGGCAAGATACCAAAACTGAAATAAGACAAAAATAGGATAAACCTTGGTTGGCTATAGCAGCATTGAGAGGAGACTACAAACTCCCTCACTGCTGTGTCTTAGGGATCTGAGTAAGGTCTAATAACACAGAGGACATATTCAGTCACACGAATCCTTCCTTCCCTCTGCTGTCCCACCCATTACCATTCACAGCATGACTCATCTCTAACATGTTTAGTGACAAGTCTTTATAAAATTCTAGACGCTCAGGAAAGGAAGAAGCCTTAAAAAGCATATGGAATAACCACACACCTGGGTACATAGAAGATCACATATGTTAGAAGCAGTTGCAGGTCTGAAGGCAGCTTCTTATGCCTGTACCCACAGACCCCTGTGGGGCCTGAAGATGTGGTGGTTATCGGGTTAGTCCATCTAAATGGGTAGCAGTCAAGCTGTATATTTCAAGCCAGAACCTTCACTGTGGCACTTGCATTATTCTACCTGGCAGTCTGCACTGCAGGACCCCTATAGTAGAGCTGCAGAGTCCCCTCCACTTATCCAATTTTCCAGTCTAAAGTCCTCTGGGTATCCCTCTGCTCTGCAGAAAGTCCCAATGTAGCCGTTTACCCCTGGGCCATTTCCTTGGCCCATGCTCTCCCTGGACCAGAGATGTGCTTCCTCCCAACCCAACACGGATGCTGTGGGAGGCCTGGTACAGCGACCTGGGTTGGGCTGACCCCTCCACTCCATCTGCTTACAGAAACAGTGCTTCCTTTGTACCATTGTTTGGTTTTTTGTGTTTTTTGGGTTGCTGTTTTTTAAATTTTTCCTTCTCCCCAGTTTTATATCCAGTCCCTCAGGGCCTCAGTTGAAGCCATCCCTGCCCAAGCACAAACCACACAGAATTATTCCCTAAGCAGGCCATGGATATCTTTTCAAATGACCCTCCTGAAGTGGAAGGGTCCTGGGAAATCCAGTTACTTCCTCTTCAATGGAGGCACTCACCTCTGGAAAATTCCACAGCCGTGGGCCCTGGCTAATGGAAGAAAAAGTGAAGGGTGTGAATTAGGTTGATGCCTAAATCTTTAGGCCATCTCTTGAGATTTTTTTGAGTGAGTTAGGGTGACTCTCAAGGAAGTGAAATTCTCAACCTGGAATAGTTATTATGACAACATGAAGATCTTCTCCAGCCAAATTGTAGAGAAAAAAGGCAAAGTGTGTGTTTTCATCCTTTAGGGTTATGAAATGGGACCCTCCTTCAGGCCCAGCAGACTTTCTTCAGGTGAGCCTCTCTTTAACCCTTTTAATAAAATCACAGGTCTTCTGTTCATAATTGAAATTTCCTTATTTGAAGCAGATTTAATGATACAAATCTTCTTTTCACATATTTTTCTTTTAACAGTTGACTTTTCCTAAATTTCTGTTATTCTAACTACATTAAAGTAGCCCAATCCAAAGAAACAGAATGTACCAGGAAAGCAAACATTGGATCATTAAGGGCAAAATGTATATAAAGCATGTTTACTTGAGAGTGCATGACATCAAAGATTAAAGGATTCCTGACTGACAGGTCAACAGGGCTTTGTCCCAGGGTACCCAGAGTGGTACATGCAAGACTGAGCTAGGCACCTGAGATGCTAAGTGTCCCTAAGCTTTGTCCTTCTCTCGAGTGGAGGTGGCTGGGGGAGGAGGAGGATGAAATCATTTGCAGCCCCCTAGGTGGGCAGAACGGAGCGGCCCAGGGCCCCTCATGGCGGGATGCAGAGTTCCTGAGTCTTTAGGAGTTTGTCTGGTTAATGACCATGTTCAACTTCTGCTATAAAGGCCACTGCTCCTGGTGAGAGAGACTGAGAAACAAGCAACCAGAGAAACAACTCACAGGGGAAAGGAGCTAGAAGAGGAAACTCCGCAAGGGCAAGGATTTGATCTTGTACAGCCCATCTTCCTGGTGCCTAGCAAAATGACTGGTCCTTATGAAGTGCTCAGTAAACATTTGTTAAATTGTTGAGTGTTTGATCTATGAGACCAGGTCAAAGATTTAGGCCTAGGGGTGGGGGTCGGGGGGACAGAGGAAATCTAAGGGGATTAGTCAGAAACCTCAAGGGAATCTTGGTAAATCTCACAATCATTGACTCAACAGAGAATCTGTGTAAACCAAGACCTAGTTCCCACTAAGGTTGTGACGTATGGTATGAGCTTAGCAACACTTGAAACTTCACATGTCAAATTAGATGGTGGCCTGAGCTAAGGCATTGTCACTGGGGAAAGAGAGAAGGGATGGAATAGAAATTTAGGAGGCTGGATGGAGAGAATTTGGGACTGAAAGTATGTAGCTGTCAAAGAAAAGTAACTCAAAGGTGAATGTAATATAAAGACAATATCTACTTCACAAGGTCGCTGTAAGGACACAGAGTCCCTGGAATAGTATTGAGTGTCATTGGGTAGGTTCTTATAAACAGCTTTCTTCCTCCTCCTCATCCCTCTCTATTTGTATTAAAGGCAGGACTATCCCACCTGGAAACCTTGGAGTGCCCACCCCAAGAAGGCTCTGCCAATGGTGTCTTTATCTGAATTTAACTATTGAAGGCCATGAACACACCCCTGGCTCTACTGGTCTCCACCGAACAGATAAGAATAAAAGTGTCTTCTCTCCAGAGCTGCATGAGGAAAACCCTGAAAGCCATTCTCTCACAGTCAGAATGTTTTCTTTGTTCCTCTGAGACAGAACCAACATTTCTGTGAGGGACAAAGAGGCAGTTTGACTGATAAGCCGAGCAGACACTATGGGCTGAGTGATGGCTACACAGGAGCAGCTGGGCTCAGCCCCTGAGGCTGCTTTCAATTCTTGGTCTGGTATATACATCATAACAGCATGCGGGAGACCTTTTTAAAAACTGAACACGTGTATTTCCAAATGTCAGGTTCACATTCAGCCCTAGACCTCCCCAAACACACTCAGACTGAGCTCTCCTGGGGTGTCTACAGGGCCTGGGGGAACTGGGAAGGCCCATGCATACAGCTTGCAATGTCTCGGGTTCTTTCTCCCCAGATATTGTCATGCCCTCGTTTATTAAGGAAAAGTCACTAACGCAAAATGTTTGGAAAATGAAAGTACAATTACCGTAACAGTTCACTCCACCAGTAATTCTGAAACAGTAGCTCTTAGACCTTATGCAAAACATGCAAGACCAAGGGATGTACTGATCTATTCTTGAGTCCGTAACAGATCTACTATACAGCTCCCACCCAAATTCAGAAACCAGTGAAATCTGTGGTTCTCAGTCACCTCCTCTCCCCTACACCTACTCCTCTGCACACCCACTTGCCCCTTCTAGGATGTAACCCCTGGAAAACCACTAACATTCTTAATTGAATGTGCTATGGTTCTCAAATTCAGTAATACTCTCCTCATTGCTGTAATGAGGACCTACTTACAAATACTAATTTCAGAAAACCTAAAAGGAAGCTTCCAGGCCAAACACAAAGCTCAGACACAGTTCAACAATACCATTTTGACAAAGTAAATAATAAATCAATAAATCAAACTTGGCCATTTTCCTAGAGACTTAGATGAAGGTGTAGAAATCCTGTTCTTCCAACTGAGGCATGTCCCAGTCTGAGAGGGACTACCTTAGACCAAGAGACTGGCCTGCAGCCCCATTCATGAGAAGACAAATTAAGAAATAGGTGTGAATCCCAGTTCAGCCACTCGATACACCATGTTAGGCAGAATACTTAACCTCTGTGAGCCTGTTCTCCACTCCATGAAATGGCTATGATCATATCCAGCTTTCACCGGTGCTCTGGGCTCACAGGAGCTGTATGCAGAGTACCCAGCATAACAAGTGGCTCGTATCTGAGAGCTGGTTCATCAGTCAGTGATAATTCTTTTAAACAGGATTTATTGTAGCGTGACTTTATTATCAGAAGCTGTACCCAGATGATGATAGCACGTAAGAGCCTAGAGCCTGGGTCTCTCTTGCTGCCACCCAGACCCCAGCCCGTAGGCGATGCTCCATTACCTACTGTTTACTGACCTCCCTGACCAGCACTGGGAAACTGCCCTTCACTCCTCCACACTCAATTGGATTTTGTTAAAAGAAATTTCTTTCCCACAGGGTATGTTAATCGAAATGATATCAAATCAAGCAAGGACCCCAGACATCCTTCCCTTTCTGTGCCATGGACTCATTGGCAGTTTGACAAAAATGTCCGTAAATGCATACATAAAAGTCAGGACCACAAAAGAATTCAATTTTATTGAAATACAATTCTAACTTCCCGTTCAGATCTATGGATTTCATAATGTAAATACCCGATAGTCAAACCCCTAATGAAAGGCTTAGAAAACTCTCTAAAGTCATTCAACTAAGAAACGAAAGAGCCAAGGCAAGGACCCCATTTCCCTACTCCTGGATCTGAGCTCTGTCCACCCATCTATTTATTATTGCAGAAAATTAAGAAAAACAAAACAGGAATCTTACTGCTTCTACATTGAAAAATCCTGAATTTTGACCACATTAGAAGGCACGGAGGTGGCCCTGCTGGCCCGTATATATTCATGAGAACTGGCCTCAGTTTGTACTGGATTGCGAAACAGACAAAGATCGTTTCCCAGCAAACACCTGGAAAAGCTTCAGGCCACAATAACTTGACTGAGGATTCATATAGTTCACTGGAAACTGGTAGCAGATGTCCCAGCTCCTGGAATTTGTTGGATGACAGTGTTGGATTATGGACTGAATGGATGGATTCCATTCCTCTGCTTTGTCAAAGAGTCGAGAACACAATTTGCTGAGGCTAGTACAGAAAACCCAGCCCTCCTGCTTCCCTCAACATTTCTCAGGAATTAATAAGCAGTTGGTATTATATTTCTCTGCTGAGAAGTTTGGAAAGGATTAGACCCCTGACCAATCTCCTAGTGAACCCTTTCACCCCTTTCTGTTGCTGGGGCAAGAGAATATAACAATTAAAAGTGCGGGTTTGGAATCACACATTAGGGCTTAAATTCTCAGTTCATCACTTTAGAAAAGTTGCATGATCACCTCTTCTCACCTCTGTTTTTTCACTTCTTTAATGGGAATAGTACCAATGCCTGCCTTGCCAGGTATGTAAAAATCAGAGCTAATGGAAATGTATAGATGTCTAATGTATAGATGGAAAGCATCTATACAGGACCTGGTGTTGCTGTGTTCAGTAGTCAGGAGCTGTTATTACAATTAATTCTAGGCTGAACCCTGCACCTTTCCCACTATGTCCCTTAAGGAATGAAGTAGAAGCAGATGCTAAGCAGGTGTCACTAGTGGACTGACTGTTCAGAGAAGCTCTTCACCATAATCAGAGCAGATCTGTTTAGTTTCTCCAACAAATTTCAGTGAGATAAGTGACTTGACGACAGTCACACAAAGAGCAAACCTCTGTATCCTCTTACCACCAAAACTACACATCTCTCTGCATCTGATTGCCTACTCTCTGCCTTCTCCCCTGTTCCTGTGGACTCCAAACCCTTGATCCTTTCAGAAGCCAGTATCCTCAAAGCAGAATATAACATGGCTTCTGCCTACCTCTTCAAATTCATTTTGAATCACTTTCCTCCCCAATGTCCTCACTCTAGCCACACTGATCTTTCTGTCCCTTGAAAACATGAAATCTGTCCCTGCCCCAGGATCTTTGCACTGGCTGTTCTTCCTAGAATGCTATTCCCCATGATCCTTGAATGACTTTTTCCTTTTTATCATTCACATCTCACCTGAAATGTCAGTACTCCAAGAGGCCTTTCCTGACCACAAGACTAAAGTAGCCTACCCAATCACTCCCTGTCACATCACCCTATTCTCTCGTATATGTTTGGCTGTCTGTGTGTCTGACTCTTTTCTGGATGGTACATCCCACAAGAGCGAGGACCTTCTCTTTCTTCTTCACCAGTACATCTGCAGGACCTAGAACAGTGCCTGAACATGGCAGTACTTGATGTATGCAGTCAAAAGAGTGAATGAATGGATAAATATTCATAGTAACAGAGCTAGGACCAGAACCCAGATCTCCTGCTTTCCAGGCCTGTGTTCCCTCCCCCATGCCGTGTCAAGTTGTAGTTTTCACCAGTTTGGTTGCTTTCTTGATGTTCACCAGATGATTGGCATCATTTAGCTCTCACGTGGTTCCTGCTCCAAGTGATAAAGGAAGTGGCCACAAGGGAGTAGGAAGGAGAGGAAAGAGAGCATCTGAATAAATCGTGAAGTACATGGCTGTCCCCACAAATAATGAGAATTAACATTCGATCATCCAATAACATTTAGTAAACCCTTGTTATGTGCCAAGCATTATGCAATTTATCGGGAACAAAAAGATGAACCTACCCCAAAGGATCTGACAGTCTCCAGAAGGAGACAGTGATGCTTAACATGGTGTGATGGGCCTGACAACAAAGTAACATGTGCTGTGAAGACACAAAGCAGAGAGTGTTGGAGGCTGCATAAAATGGGCAGGAATTCAGGAAAACAACCAAAGAGTGGAAATTTTGCACTGAGTCCTAAAGAGTGAATAAGTGTCATGGAAAACACATGAAAAGTACAGTTGTGTTTCCCCTTCATTTTAACTGACAAAAGAAAGATGACTTTAGAAGGGCACACAGGATGACTCCGGTAGTTGAAAGAACCGGTTATTAATAAATAGAGAAATTTCCATCAGGGAAACCTTTTTAAGATGGAATAGTTCTCTATTTCTTGCTACTAAAAGTCCATCAAAAAAATTTCATCTTCCCTGAGGGTCTTATAGTGAAACCACTAAGGCAATTACCCATATGATGAACGATCACCCAACTAAAGAACAACTTCCCTATGAAACCACAGGCCATCTCCTTGAAGATATGTGCTGTCAGGTAAAAGCAAGGTTTTACAGCAGGTGAAAGAATGAGGTAGCACTATGTGAATTGGTATAGAGAGATACCTTATTACATGAAAACAAGTTTCAGAACACTGGATATTATTGCTATTGCTGTTATTATGTTAGGCTCTGTAGAGGAATGCCTAGAAGAATAAATACAAACGTAACAATCTCTGAGGTGTGGGATTATGAGAACCTTACACTTTCTGAGGCCCACATTTTGGTACCATTTTAATTGTTTATAATAATTTTGAATTAAAAAATAAAGGCTTGTTTAGAACACAGTTCTGATTTGTTTTATGATGCTTAAAAACTTGTGCTTGGCCCTATTCCAGAAACATGTGAAGGGAGATTTTTTCCTGTATCATTTGCCAACATTTACAGGAAAAAATAAACTAAGACCCAGAAAGATTATGTGTGTTTATTATTATTATTATTATTTGTTCAATCTCATGTTCTCTGTGACTCCTAGACTAATATCTTCAGCTCCACAGTTCTTGATTTAATGCTAAGGATTCAAAGATAAGATACATCACTCTTCAACTTACACAATTGGAAACTTTAGCTACATTGCTTAGTGGAAAACTGTGTAGCTATTTAGAGGGAAATATTCTTTTCATGAGGTTGATGAGAGGCTAATTGTGTATTTCTTCAGTGACAAGCAATTCTTGGGGACAAATGTGATGCAGGTAAATAAGGCTTAGAAACTTACAGACTAGTACTTTCCCCGGAAAACACTTCAAATAGAAGCCTCTAGAATATTACCTCTAGCTCCTTTTGCAAATCTTAGAGTACTCAGTAAATTCTTTCAATAGGTAGGTCCCTTCCATTCAGCTTACAAGCAGTCACTAAGCACCTGTGATGTGCTCTAGCCGGGATGGGTACCGCAGCCAGCCAGTGAGACAAGTTCTCCACACCTGTGGGGCTTAGCGCCCAGTGAGGAAGACACGAGAAACAAGAGAAAACGTAAATAAAGGATTCATTCAGGTAAAGCTACAGTAAGGATATGAGGAAGCAGGTAAAACGACATGACAAGAGTCCTGTTTTTGAAAGGCCAGGAAGGCCTTTTAAAGGAAGTGACATTAGATCAGGGACCTGGAGGGAGGGAGGGAGATAGGGAGCCATGCCAGGTTCTCAGGGGGAAGTGTGACAAGACTACAGCAAGGTCAGTGTCCTGACCAGGAAGAAGGATTCCTTCTTTTCCTAAAAAAGTAAAGCACACCCCAAAGAAAGAGCTCTCAAAGTTTGACACATTAAGGTTTCACTCTTGCTGTTGTTTTAATGTTTAGAAGGCCTAGTGCTGTAAATTTCTATTGCTTACAAATTTGAGAATGAATTTTATTTAGGAATATAAGTCTACTGCAAAAATACTGTCTTATCTATATGCCAGGAAAAATACCTCCTGCCTATCACAAAGGCATAGAATCCAATTCCTTAGAGTCATTCCAAAGCTGTTCATTTCACCGAAAGAGACAAGATCCAATCTAAAGTACCTCTGGGCTTAAATCTGCTTGCACACGCGCGTGCACACACACACGCACACTCACCCTACTCTAGCCCCAAACAGAAAAGGCTGCCTGGAATACGTAGCTGGGAGGGTCATCAAAGGCACGGACAGAGGAGCTGCAGAGGACCTCTTTGGCATTCTTAGCTTTTACCCCAACTATTAGAGAACTGGTGTCTCCCCTATGCACTCATCTCTGATGGGGACAGAAATGACAAGTCTGTCTTTCTCAATGGGGAGACTGAGGCTCAGAGTAGTGGGTGTTTTGCCCAGAATCGCACAGAAAGCCAATTCCTAATTTTAATTCCCAACCTTCACTCTGTTACCTGAGTCACATTCCTGGCCAGGGACCACATGGGTGGAATTCATCCTCCATATTCAGGAAATGGGATTGTTGATTTTTTATTTACACAAAAATGGAAAATAAGTAGCAGATGTTTGAAAACATGTTGCAACTCATCTTACTGGAACTTGAAAGTGCATTCGGACTGAGAAAATTAAATTAGAAAATCCACATAGCAAAAAAGATGTTTTGAATGAAATACACGTTTCTTTCTCTCTCTCTCTCTCACACACACACACACAGAAACAGTATCTCCTTGTTTCTTCTTCAGGGAGCAGCTGGGAAGGAAACTGGGGGAGGGAGATGAACAGAACATCCCATCTTTGTGTTTCATACAGAGCTAAGCTTTTAGGCCAGCCTTCCTGAATGTAGGGGGTGTGGCATGCATAAAAATTAAACATCAGTGACCTGAGGAAGCTTATAAAATAGCTTGGGAAAAGCCAGTCACCAAGACAAGGCATCTCAAATCGGATGTGGAAATAGCTCTCATCTTGATAAAAAAAGGTATGTACTGTAGTTTTAATTTTCATTTATGATAAATAACACTTAAAATAGAGACAGTCTTGACTTTTCATTGCCCCTTCTCAGCTAAAAATAATAACTAACATGACTGAGGACCTTTGGCCAGTCGCTTTGGAGACGTGGACTCGTTTTTCCACAAAAAATTTTACAAGGTAGATATTGTTAGTGTCATTTTTCCAATGAGGAAACCAAAGTTCAGACATTCTAAGCAACAGGCCTAAGGTAAGACCACCAACAAATGCCACAGCTGGGGTGCCAACTCAGTGCTGGCACACCCCAAAGTCTTCTGCTCGCACTGTGCACCCCACTCTATACTATCTGAGACAATGAGGAATTTTTTCACACACCAAGCCTGTGCTAGATGTATCCTCCAGGGGTTGTTATCCCGTGTGCATCACAGTAAAATTGACCAAAAAGTGCACTGAAAGGCATTATGTGAAGAGAAAATGCATTTATCAATGTGACAAAAAAGTTTTCTTCAGGAGATATGTTTTCTTGTTAGATTCAATGGCAAAATGGGTTTTCAAGACCCATTTGCTTGTGGAAATGTGTTTTATTTTATCATGTGAGATCGAAAAAGCCAGTCCTTCATGTTCTGCAGCGTCTTGCGAACAGCTGCACTAGCACGCAGGCGTGCGGAGTACAGGGCCTTAGGAGGCCTG